AATTAACAAATTTTTTTTAGAGATGGTAAATATGAGACATTAAATTGATTCACAACCACAAACTATATTATGCTCATATTAGAACATACCAATATCACTTGAAATTGGTTGGATGGTCATATTTGTAAGGTCATTCTGCAATGCTTCCAACTCTTCATTGGTTAAGAGAGGTGGTGAATCCTCTAATACCCAACTAGAATGGTCGACAATTGTTTCAATATTGATAGGATCATAACTCCCATTTCTTATTTTCCTAAGCACACATGAATTAAATCTAAGTATATGTATTTAAATATAAAAATATAATGATCAAAGAAAAATAATCATAATAATACCTATTTTGAAGTCTCAAGTTGTAACGAACAAACACTAAATCATTAAGCTTTTGGTGCTCCAATCTATTTCTTTTTTTGGAATGAATATGCTCAAATATACTCCAATTGCATTCACAACTCGAAGCACTACAAGTTTGGCTTAAAATACGAATAGCTAACCTTTGCAAAGTTGATGTACAAGTGCCATAAGTTTCCCACCATTGATCTGTTTATACCATGTGATTAAATAAATTTATAAACATATTGAAATATAAAATAAAAATATATATCAAGAGTTAGAAGTTATGAAATTTCCTGCCCTCACAATACATCGTTCATCCACGGCTGATTTCCTTCCAAAATCTAATTCATCGTCTTTGAATATTCTCATCTCATCTGTTAACTTCAATCGAAGTTCAGAATTTCCATTAGCATGCTTTTCAATGACATCTAAAAGTCCTGATGTTGTGGGTGCATGTTTTTCAAATTCTACATCATTATATCTACAAGCTGGATTCAACCAATAACCGGCAGCATGAAGATTTTTGCGGAGCTGTGAATCCCAACGTTTATCTAAGATTTTCAAGTAAGGATCCAATTTCTTCTTATTTCTTTGAAACCTCCTCACCATCTCCTCTCTAGCTTTGACTATAGATTTGTATAGAATGCCCATAACAGGTTTATCTTCACTATTAACAATACGCAACACACGCACAAGTGGTTCAGTGAGTTTAACTACATCGGCATATTTACTCCAAAATCCAGAATCTAAAACTTGATCCACAAACTGTTTTTCCTTTGCTTCTTTGGCATATGCTGAGCTTGTCCATTCTTTAGATGTTACCATGGCTCTTAGTGAGTTTTTGTGAGACAAAATACTTTGCAAAGCAATGAAATTAGTGGTAAACCGAGTTGGAGCAGGACGAAGGATTTCTCTTCCACCTGTTTTCTTTCTCATTAAATACAATGCATAACAATGGTTATAAATATATTTGGTAACATTAGAAGCATGTGACACTGTCTCACTTACTTCCTCTAATTTTCCCATGTCTTGCAACATCAAGTTAATGCAATGTGCCGCACAAGGAGACCAAAATAAAGTAGGAAACTTATTTTCTAATAACCTTCCAGCAGTAACATAATTTGCAGCATTATCTGTCACTATGTGAACTACATTTTCAGGCCCAACAAATAAAACCACCTCTCTAGAAAGCTTATACAACATATCTGCAGTTTTTGAAGCATGAGAAGCATCAACAGATTTTAGAAAAATAGTACCTTTGGGACAATAAACTAGAAAGTTTATAAGAGTTATTCTTTTTCGATCAGTCCATCCATCGGTCATTAGAGTACAACCAGTTTTCTTCCAAATCTCATGATACTCCTCTATCAATTTGTTCACATCTTCAACCCATTTATTTAATAAATAGCCACGAAGACTATGCATAGTTGAAACTTTATACCCCGGACTCATGCTGCAAAGTGCATCAGCCATAAATTGAAAATACGCAGAATTAGCTGCATTGAATAGCACAGAAGAATCAATGAACCATCTTGCAATAGATAGATCACACTTCTCCACCAATTCCTTACTTTGTAACACACTTTTTAAAGAAGGTTGAGCTCCAGGAGTTGTTCTAGGCATAAAATAATTACCAATACGACTAGTATTCTTTCTCTTTTGAGACACAATCACTGAATTTGATCTTGATTGTTCTACATCTATTTCTACTACACCACCCTCTTGAGTAGTAAGATCAACATCAAAATTTTGTGCTTGAGTCTTTCTTCTCTTATTTGTACTTTCATCAAGATTTTGTTTCATTTGATATTGAACATCTGGAGGCACCTTTTTACATGTTTCAACTTGACCTTTTATTCCAACCAAAGGGAATTTGAACCTATTAATCCCCCATCCTCTAATAATTTTATCACAGTAAATACACAAATTAACAAGTTTTCCTTTCTCTTCAATTTGTTTACAATGACCCCAAGCTATATCAGTTTTTCCCCTACTGCTCTGGAGTTGGGTTGAATTTTGAGATGTAACTTCTTCCGAAGTTATTACTTCAGCGGGTGATGCCATATCTAATATCAATCAAAATTTAAAAATACAAAACTATATTACAAAAATATTAACAAAACACAATTCTAAACAAAAATTATTGAATTTATAAAAACATTATAAGAAACATTAAATATGTAGCATATCTAAATCCAAAATATATGAATATGTTGTTGTATATTACATATAGGCTACCAAGCATCGTTACTGTGCATCACCATATATAATAAAAAAATAGAAACTTTGCTTTCCAGCCTTTACTATATATTTTAGATTAATAAAATTCTGAAACTTTTCTTTGTTATATAATTTAAATTAATAAAAAACAGAAAACTTTGTCTTACTATATAATTTAGATTACATAGTTTTAAACTCAATTTCTATCTCCATAATATATACAACGACTATTACAGTAATATATATCTATCCCAATTTCTATCTCCAATATACAACAACTTCATTACCAGTCTATAATAAGTTAATTCATAAAAGTATAAAACTGCTTCATTCATACAAATTTTATCTCAATTTGTTAAACTAAAAGACTCAATTTTATAGAAAATGATCAAATTTAATCATTTATTTTCTATATTAATTAATCAACAAAATGAAACAATACTATTCATATTGAAAAACATCAATGCAAATTAGACCAAGCAAAAAAGAAATAACTTGTTTTTGATGTTTTGATGAAATTTTTAACGGCAAACAAGGAATATCAAATAACAGCAGCAAGTGGGAGTTTTTGTTGGTAGAGAAAATTGAGAATATGACTTCAATTAGAAAAAGAAAAGATAGAATAAAAAAGAAAATCTTTCAAATGCCTAGGTTTGGGAAACGAGGAGGCAAAGCGTTTATGTTAATTTTTTTTTCAAAAGCCCTAAAAAATAAAATAAATATTAAAACCCGTCGGTTCAGTAAAAACCGCTGGTTCACTGGTTTAACCGGTGATCCGACCGGTTCACACCAGTTTCATCCGATCTAAATGTAATTCCAGTCTTATCCCTTAATCGGACCGTCTAGCCCACCAGTTCTCGGTCAGACCGGTCCGACCGGCCGGGTCGGGCTGGGTTTTAAAACACTGATAAAATGTTTTGTAGTTTTAGTTTTCAACAAACCTTTGTTACAATTATGGAAATCTGTTTAAATTTTTTTATGGAAAATAATCTGTTTTTTTATTGTCATATTCAAGTCCAATTTGTATATAAATTTAAAAACATACAATTGTTGTTAGAATCGTGATCAGAATCGTGAAATTCATGGATTTTGTGATTTTGCTCACCCTTAACGATCTAAATCGTGAGTAGAATCCTAATTCATAGTAAAATTCCAATAAAATCGCATAAAATCGCTAAATCGCAGCAAAATTCGCGATCTCGTATGCATTCCACCGATTTTGGGTTTTTTTTGGATAATTTTAGAATAGGCAAAAACGACCCGTTTCAATTTTGTGACCCGGTTTTAACCCTTTTTATTTAAAAAGGGGAAAAACCCTATTTTTATTAATATTCCTTTTGCCGTTTGCGCTTCTACATCAACAATATTTCTTTCTCTTTCAAGTTTCAACCTTGCCTTCATCTCTAGTTTCACGACCTTGCCTTCATCTCAACAATCTGTAAGCATTACTCTAGTTTCCATTATTCCTTCATATGATGATATCTATTATATTATCATGCTCTGCTTCCAGTTTCCTTACTCCACTTTCTTACTTTTTGCATTTTCATGCCGTCGCGTCGGTTTAACTGAAAGTGTCTTTATTTTGTTTTATGATCTCTATTTAGACTTTAGATGGCTAGTAGCAGTTCCATGTCGCCTCCTCCTCCTCCTGGAGGATCAAACCTAAGTGTTAGGGGGACTGTGAAACGTAAGAATCCTCCAAAAATGTTGCTGGTGAAAAACAAGATGTGAGGTGGCTACACTGCACTCTCGTAGACGAGAAATCAAACAAAATAAAGTGTAACTATTGTCAAAAAGTAATTTATAATGGTATTTATCGATTAAAACACCATTTAGCGGGTACAACTCACCATGTTATACCATCTCCATCTGTCTCGAGTGATGTTCAACAAAAAATGTGGAATCTTGTTAACAACATGCAAAGTAACATCATCAACAAGGGAGGTATGGTTGTGGCAGATCAAGAGATGCTAGAGATTGATGATGCAAAAAGAAAAATTGTGCATCCTGGTGATATTTTTAAGAGAGGGATAACCATGCAAACAAGTACCAACATTGTTTTTAAGAAGAAAGAGAAGGATGCTATTGATTTACAAGTTGCTACTTGTTTTTACAATAATGTTATTCCCTTCAATATTATATAAGATGAAGAATTTATCAAAATGTGTGAAATGGTTGCTGGTTTTAGAAAAGGATACAAGTTACCGACTTACCATGATATTAGAGATAAGTTGCTGAAGAAAAAAGTTGAGGAAACACATAAGATATTAGAGGAACATAAAAAATATTGGAAAAATATTGGGTGTACAATCATGACTGATGGATGGACTAATCAAAGAAGGAGGATTATCATAAACTTTTTGGTAAATAGTCCAAAGGTAACTTTCTTTTTAAAGTCAATAGATGCATCTTCCATTTCAAATACAACTCATAAAGTTTTTCAAATGATGGATGACATTGTCGAGGAAGTGGGTGAAGAAAATGTTATCCAAATTGTAACAGACAATGATGCAAATTACAAGTTGGCTGGACAGATGTTGATGGAGAAAAAGAATAAGCTTTGTTGGACCCCTTGTGCAGCTTACTGCATTGATCTAATGTTGGAGGACTTTGAGAGCAAGATACCTATGCATAAAGATACTATTGTTGCAAGTAAAAAGATCACAACTTACATCTATGCTAGAACTGGTCTTATAACTTTATTGCATCATTTTAATGAAGGAGGTGAGTTGATTAGACCCAGAATCACTCAATTTGCAACATCTTACTTATGTTTGGGGTACTTGAATGATAAGAGGGGAGCATTTTTTAGGATGTTCACTTTCAAGCAATGGAAGGATGGTCCATTTTCCAAAACAAAGGATGGGAAACTAGTTCAAAATACAGTCCTAGATAAGGATTTTCAGAAGAATGTGATTCTCTGTTTAAGGGCTGCATTTCCATTACTAAGAAAATGCAATTGCTAATCAGATGATGGCTGATTTAGATGTTGAATTGATGCATACTAATGGTACTACTAGTGCTACATCACCTACACTTGCAGTTGCAGATGAATTTGATATTGCTGAAGATATAGAAGAAAGTGACAACGAAGTTGATGATGGAAGTGATGATGATGATGATGGTGGTGGTGATGGTGGTGGTGATGAGAATAATGAAGATGATAATGTTGAAATTATGGGAGATGATCCAAGTAAATGGCGCATTAGTGATCTAATTTAGAATCTAGACTTTAAGTATTTTGTTCTATATTTAAGATTTGAGACTTGGTTATTTTATGTTTGTTTTATGATTTTAAACTTTTGAGTACTTTTATATTTAAGATTTGAGACTTGATTTTTTTTATGATTTTAAACTTTGAGTACTTGCACTTTATAATATATATTTACTATTATGAGTTGAATCCATCGATTTTGGTTGCGATTTATGATTATGCGGTCTTGATTTCTCCTTTCGATTCAACAAAACGATTTGAGTAGAATCCATCGATTTTGGTTGTGATTTTCGATTATGCGATCTTGATATCCTCGTTGGATTCAAAGTAAAATCTTGATTCTGACAACCTTGGCCAAAGGTATTGGAATACCTATTGTTATACTAAGTCATAGGGGATGACTTATATATATACACTAAACTCGAGTAAGCACTACAAAAAAAACCTTGTTTTTGTAAACGGTAAGTGTTAAAGGTTAAGACTTTCACCAAATTAATATATTATTTGGAGTTAAACTCCTCGCAATGCAAAAAACAAAAAAATTAAAAAAAATTAATCTACGTGGGGATTTCCTTTACAAATTTTAAAGATGTTTTTTTTTTAGTTTTGAAATTGAACGTTGCGAGGGGTCACCCAAGGCACAAAGAAAATGACGCCATTAAACGTGTATGTTTGCGAGGAGAAGTCCTTAGCCAATCTTTAACTGAACTTTGCAAGGGTTGCTCGATTGCAACTTTTGAGATTCTTCTTCCATTTTGTCAAATCGCCGCTAGCGTGCCAGTGACTTTAATGAGTCTTTTGCGGTGACAGTCTAGCATGTGCATTTTGCGAGGGGCTGTCCCAAGCTAAATATGACTGTTTATCTGGTGCAGGGTATTCCGTCACAAATTCCTACATAAATAATTTGTAACACTCCCATTGCTTTCCATTTTCCAGAACATGTTTTCTTCATCATTCACTCTCTTTTTTCTCCATTTTCACTTCCTTACACTTCAAACCTTCACCCCTCAACATCATTTTCTTCCTCCTTCAAATCTTAAACAATACATATATTTTAAACTCATTTTTCATGTTTTCTATTTGTTTTTCTATTTTCCTATTTACATCAAATTTCTAATCACATTTTTTATTGTTAATTTTTTTTGTTTATGTACCATTTCCATCATTTAAGGATTTCAAATTTCACAAGAATATTTAAATTTAAGGTGTACAATAGTCTAATTTGTTCTTCTAAAACACATCTTTCTTGAAATTCTGGTATACATATTACAAATGTCCTAACACGTGTTGAGACATTGATCTTTGCATAATCATGCATGAATAGAACACAACAGACTGATATAGCCTTATCAGTTTAAAGCCGTAACAGATGTTCCAACATCTTATACAACATGTCAGTCAATCAAGAAAAAAAACAGAACAATGCAGAAGAAAAATAACACAAAGATATGATGACCTAGTTTGGTGAATCACACCTACTTTGGAGGCTTACCAAGCCATGAAGGAAGTCCAGTATCAACAGTATTAGCTCAAAGCTAAACTCCCCCGTTTACAACTTCTCGCCTAATCCCTACCCAATGCAACTTCTACCTAGGAACATCCTAAATATGAGAAATTGACATCCCACTTCCTAAATCACCTCAGTGATATCTATCAACCATAAAATTAAGTCAAGACACTTGACTAACAAACCACACTTGGATTTGCTTCAAAGCTTCATCTAAGAACAATATACATTATATGCTTAAAAGCTTAAGAATAAACAACATAGAATTATAACTCTATAACATCAGTCCTACTGTCATACCAACATGGTATTCGAGAGGCACATATATACCAACTCTCCTAGAGAGTGGCTTACAAACTCAGCCCTAATAATCTGAATTTTGTATTTTCGGCTGGTGCTTCTTCTAGGTTAATAAACTTCTATTTATAACCATCTTCTAGACTGGATTGGGCTTCAAAATCGTAGTGATCTATAGCAAAAAAGTTGCAGATATATCTCCTAAATTATAGAATTTATTATCATTAGTTTCCTAATTTCTCTCCATAATTAGAAACTAATAAAATCCTTGAAATCAACTTGACTCTTCTTCAATCTTCAAAAAGCGCCACAAAGGATAACATAATATTCCCAAAATATTCTGCATTTGTTAAATCTAAAACGGATCCAACAGCCCAGCCCAACATAATCACGATGTCAAATGACTCTGCATAAGACATCTCATCCGACATGTTGCTTCAGTTGATGAAACATTTCAACTCAACATGTTTCTTCATAAAATAAGAACTTCTTACTCAACCTGTTTTTCTCTCCATACATAACATGTTGCTGTTATATTTGTCTTACTAAAATTAATGCAATCATGAAATCAGAGAACTAACAATCTCTCCTTTGGCGAGTATTGGCTAAAACAAATAAATAACTTATAACTCAGATTATAGTAAATAAAATAGATCAGGTTATGTCATAACATCATGTTCGACATCTTCTTCACAGCAACTCCATTGCAGTAGATCCAACTTAACATCCCAGAACTTCAACCTCAGGATAAAAGGAATAGAAAGTCCTGAAGTTATAATATGGTGTACACGAGGAAGAATATAGATTACAGAACAGGCAAGCTACTCCCCCTCAACCCAGAGACCATACTCCTCTTCAATCCAGAAACTTTCCTCACAGGGGGCATAACAGAACCCTTAAGAGGTAACCAACAACTATCCCATGTAACTCAGAACACAGGTCACATCCGTGTTTGTAACTCAGATCACAAGTCACAATAACAAAAAACAACAGCGTTTAAAATTGAAAATTCTATCCGATATCTATGCAAAACAACTGCAAACATAGACCTTATATTTAACAACATCTGAACAATACTTCTCTCCCTTTTTTGACCAAAAATTTACAAACACATCCTTCACAAAAACCGACCCAAAAGGTACTTACCCATACCCGAACAAAAGCCATAAGGACTTATGAATACATCAAACAACCATATTGTGAGAGAAGGTGAAGGAATTACCTATAAATACCCAAGTAGTGACATAGGAACTAACGATTCTAGACGGAGTTAATGGTCTCGGTCAAGAACTTTATTTGAGGAAAATAACCAAAAACAAATGCACCTTCAAAACAACTTTTGACTACCTTCATTGACTCTGGACTGAGTTTTCTGGGTGGAGTTATTTCCAATAAAAGCACATGCAAAGTTAATAAGTATGTTTCACACTCCCTCATGATGTGTATAGATTCCACCATCCATACTGTTTTCTGACTATCTTTATAATTCCAATAAATGCGTATGCACATATCACACTTGACAAGTGATTTCTTACACCGTCCATACTTTTTGTTTGTTACAAGGAAAACATGTCATGCATAATGTCGTGACATCCAGTTAGACATTTATTTTGAGCAAGACTTCTTCACCAATCAGTACACGATGTTTCACAGGATTATCTATACATTCTGAAGTAAGATTCCATATACCAAGTCATTTATTCAACAACCAACACTTCCATTGACTCCCACCTCACAAGCTTGAACAGCATGCAAGCTTCAGAAAATATCTACACCATTGCAATAACCATCCATAGACAAGAACTCAACTCCCCATGTCAAGGATAAGAAATGCTCCTGCTGAAGACGAGTATCTGAGCACCAGATGAAGTCATATGAAGGATTTCACATTCTTATAGTGAAGAACTACAACTTCATACACCATGTGAATCCAAACCAGAACCAGATACTCTAGCTCCTTGAAATCACATTCAAGCCTTCTGATTTCTTCATTCAATAAACTCTTACACTTCTCTTAAACGAAGAGTTTAGATTGCAAACTTTCACATACACATCTAACAAATACTCAGCTCTCGTCAATGTATCTTCCATCAGTTAAATGCACAATATCACCAGGGGAAAATTTTCACAAGCTCATTGCTTCAGTTACTGGATAGTAGTCATGCTTCAAACAAGCATACTTCTTTAGAGCCTTATCATTCAGAAATGACTCTTCTGATCAGCTTCACATCACAGGACCCAATCACTTACCAACCAAAGAACTTATCATGCTTGGATGTCCTTCACAAATTCAGTAGTTAGCATACATCATAGAACCACATAGATAAATAAACTCTCATACACTTTCCGAATTAGTACTCAAATTGAAGATTTGCATAAATACGCCAGGCAAATACACAACTCCTGTTAATATATTTTACCATTAGTTAGATCCACACCTGCATCATAATTTCTCTTAGAGGTCCAACCAACTGATAGAACTAACTCATCTCATATGTAGAACATTTGGTTTGACATTCTCCTTTGGCACACCTCAGATAGCTATGACATGTGTCCATATCACACACTAAGCTAGATCAGGCCAGTGACTTGACTCCACCATGAGTTTCAAACAAATTTCCTTAGCTGAAGAAACATCCAACTGAGATGATGTTCCAACATCAGTTATGACATCAAGGACTTAATCATTTGCTATGGCTTTGAATATACCGCCCATAGTAATTCAAAAATAACTCTTGCAGGAACCCCAAGGATACCACACTTGTACTCTGTTGTACCCCAAAATTTTCCCTCTCACTTCTCAAGGGATCATCTTGGACACTCAGGATTGCTTCTGTCAAGTTTCAAGTCTCGGATTACAATTTTCCAAGAAAGTCATTCACAAGGGTAAAATGGTCAAATGAATACTGAAAAGTCAAACTTTGACTTTTGATCAAAATCAAGTTTTAAAAATCATATTTCATCAAGACATGAAGTTGGTTCATCAAGAAAATCAAAAGTCAAAAATTACTTTGAAAAGTCAAATTTCTAAACACTTAGAAAATTTTCTAAGTGTTAAGAAAATATGATAATTACATAACTTTGGGCCAGATTTTCATCATGATGCAAGATGATTCAATCAGAACTTATGACATGAAAGTTATAGATCTCAATGAGATCTAAAAGATTGCTGAACAAAACTTCTCCTAAAAATGCTGGGATTTC